CATCCCTGGCGTGAGTGCCGGCTCCGCCCCAGGGGCATGCTGAGATGGCAGTTGAGGCTGGGCTTGGTGGCTTGTGCCTGTAATCCCAGGGCTTGGGAGGCTGAAAACAAGAGAATCATTATGAGTCTGATGTATGTAGTGAGACCCTATAGACCCTGTAAACCCTGTCTTAAATTTATTAAAAAAAAAAAAAAAAAAAGCTATACTTACAGATAAAACTTACCAACAGGTAGGGAAAAGGTAGAATGAGAACAACCAAGTTTATCTCATTGTCAGAACCAGAGTTTTTCCTCCTTTTGCCATGATTGAGAATAAAGAGTTACTTCTTACCCTCTTTTCCTTTGTCTTTGAAATAAAGTCTTTCTATGTGGTCAAGGCTGGCCTGGAAATTAGGATCCTCCTGACTCAGCCTAGCCTGTAATCACTGGGGTTACAGGGGTATGATACGACTCCCAACCAAAGTAAAAAGCCACGGTGCCCCGTGGCGAGACCTCCAGGGCTGCCTCGGAGGCCTCAGCCTGTGGCGCCCTGGCCTATTGAAAGTGATCTCCAGGCGACCTTCCAGACAGAAGCAAACCACAATGGAAATAAGCAAATAGCAGCAGACCCAGGCCCGACCTCTGGCGGGATCAAGGGAGCTAAGGAGCAGCCCTGTTGCCATGACGTCTAGGCCGGTGACTGAGTTCCGTGCAGGAGTTCCAAGCGGGCGGGAAGAACCTTGTCAGGAAAGAAATACAAAGGACCTATAGCAGAAAGAAGCAAGGCAGGCTTGGAGGTGTGCGGAGCCGGTCAGAAGGGCGAGAAGTCAAGGCCACGCGCAGCAGCCGCCGCTGCGGTCCTGGAGCACTGGGCTGTCCTGAGGGCAGCAGAGGCGCCCTGGGAACCGGAGAGCCAGCACCACCGAGCACCCGTGGCCAGAGAAGGAGCCACGCGGCGGGACGTGCAACCTGGGGCGGGTGGGCGCCCTCTGCACCCCTCGTGGCAGTCTCCCTCCTAGGCCAGCCTGGGAAGCGCACACACGCTGGGCCCCGCCTTCCTCTGTCCAGCCTCGGGAAGACCAGAGCCTGCTCGCAGGACTGTGTGAGGCCGCAACAAGCTTTGAGCGGTCAGACTGTGGTTGGCTCAAGCGTCCGCGCGAGTCTGCGGCTGTCCTTTGACCGGCACACAGAGCGGGGCACCACGGAGCGCGCAGACAGTCAGGGAGAGCCCGCCAACCCCGCTGAGGACCCAGGCGGCCTCCGCCCTCCGTCCTGGTGGCCCCGCACACTCTCCGGAAGTGAGTCTTTGCATGGGGGCCTAGGATAACAGTCAGACCTAGAAGTCCTTGTCTGAGGCTCCTAGAACAGCTCCGGCTCCGCGGCCCCCCCCCCCCCAAGCAGCTGCTTTGGGAGCAGCCTGGGGTCTCTGTTTGCTGCAGGAATTAGGAGCAAGGCTTTAGGGCTGCTGCACTGTCACTGCTGTCCTTTGTAGCTTCTGGGTTTTCCTCCAGGGACAGGTGAAGTTCAGCTTCTAGTCGTTTCCAGCGCCTGAGCCTCAGGCAGAAGATGGGTCATTCATGCCCACAGTACTTAAAGTCCTCAGCTAGAACCATCAGGAGAGGAAACTATCCTGTCCCGGGTGCTATCTCTAGAGAGGGAGGTGTCCCTGGATGCACTTTGACCTCTGCAGGGCATGATGCCCAGGCAGAGCAGAGCTGAGTTGTCCCAGGGCTTAGCTTCCCGTCCTTGTCCTATTCTCTGAGCAAAATGTCTTTCCTACAGTGATAAAGGCTTCCCTCATGTGTCGTGTAAATAAATTAAAAACACTTCATGAGTTTTAAATGTAATTAATGAGTAACTATCCCATGTGCTTCTAATAGAGAGATACCTGGGAATTGATTTTCAATGACCTAATGTGGAATTATAAAGGACCAAAGATAATGTCATGGTCTGAGAAAATAAATCACCCTATGAGGTGGTTTTACAAATTCATATTACTCAGGAAAGGGATTCCTATGAGCAGTTTACCAGGATTATATTTCTGAGCACAAGAGGGAAGTTCAGTATGCTCAAACGTGTGCCTGCCTGTGACTGACTATTAGAAAACAAAGATTAGTTCTCAGTGACAAATATACTGTATTTTGAGCTCTGCTGTAATTCCTGTGGCAGTCCACTGACTGTGTGTAGGCAGTCTCAGATGCTTGGCCTGCCAGGTTCACATTTGGAGGACATGTCTTTTTCTATCAGTTTTGGTTCAATTTGCAAGGCTCACAGTGGTTTTCTTTACAAAACATGTGGGTTTTAGGTACGCGTTCTGGGCTGTAAAATTTCCCTCTGGGACATTGGCAGAGAAGGCTGGACAGTAATTTTCCATCATGGAGCTCTACAATAACATTGATTTCAGGATAGAATCTTGTTTTTTAAAAAATGATGTTTCCCAGGAGGTTTTCCCAGGAACTTGGAGACCCGCGCTTCCCTTTACGGGGTCACCACATCTTCTGATGAGGTGCAGCCCTGCGAAGTCTCTTCTCCGTGAGCGGAGCATGAGGAGGGTGACCAGGAGCACCCCAGCTGCTCAGCGGGTGCCCCAAGAGGGAGCACAGCACTGCCAGCGTGGGGCAGTACGTGTCTTGACCTGTTGAGATGAGAAACAGCTCATGGTGGCTCCCGCTCACTGTACACAAATCAGGGAAGCAGTCATTTCCTCTGACAGCCCACGCCCTCCAGGCTCCCTTTACTGAACCAAAAAGGCAGGCTCCTGTCCTTATCACAAGCACAATTCTTATCGCTTCACACTCCTATCTTTTTCCAGAAAAATAGTTACTTTTCTTCCAAACCCTAAAGTTCAACTGTAGCTACTGACAGCAACTTAAATAGCATTTTAACAAGACAGCCAAGACCCCCACCACAACACAGTGACGCTGAAGTGAATCTTCCCCAGTTAACAGCTGTCAACTGTCAATGAGCTACAGATAATTAAATTTGAAGATGATTTATGGCTCAGCAAAACAGATAAAAGTCTTTGGACCAGAAAGGTCTTCAAGTTGATGGGTTTATTTCTCCCTCTGGTATTTACATTAATGCAAGAAACTGATTATTTTTTAAGGAAACAGGAGAAGAAACCTGCCGTTTTCGTTGTTGTCAGTTGCAAGCAGAAGCCAGCAGAGGTTGTTTTCCTGAGATCACGTTTTTTGTTTTAATTCAGTATGGGTTAAGAAAAGAAGGGGAAAATAGGCAAGAATATTTTGGTAGAAAAAAATCTGAAGTAAATAAGCCATGCTTCACAGGGTAAGAAAGAGGCAGTTGGGGACTTTGGACATAAAAGATGTGTCTTCAGAATTTCAGTAGCTGTATGATCAGTGTCCCATGTTTATGGGACTTTTTATCGTTAGTGTACACTACTGAAATAGGGAAAGAAAAGCTCAGTGTAAGCTGCCTAGAAAATCACAAGGTTCTTAACTCATAGACATCACGTAGTCCAATGATAGCGCACTTCTAGGGGTAGCTAAGTGACTGGTTTTTTAAGGAACCTAGATTTTCTCCAACACTTCTCCCTGCCATTCTTACCTAGAACCTTCCCAGAAAGTACAATTTCCCCAAATGTAGTATGTGCCTGTATATCTGGAATCAAAACCAAGAAATGACCACTTGGGTGTGCTGGTGTAGAGACCCAAGGAGCCATCTGGGTGGCCCCGAGGGGGGTCTCCTGGAGCTTCTCTGGCAAAGCTGGTCATGTGAGCACCTCACTTCCCTCGCTGGCTGCAGTTGGGACCAGAATGGCTGATCAAGACTGCAGTGTGCTTCCAAATGACCATGTTTGGTGCAGTGAGAACACCTCTGCCATGAATTCTGCTCAAGTGCTTCCCCCTGTTTTGACCACACTTACTCCCTCTACCTTACCACTTTCTGAAGCACGTCTGCAAGACCTCTTCATATATGCTGTCGCTGAGCATTGTCCAGTGGAAAGGCAGCTCCTGAGACATGGCAGTGCCCAGTCAGTGTGTCCTCATCCTACTCATTCACCTGGTGGGGCAACTTGTGCCTAGAATGACTGCAAGGATCCTGTGGCTTCATGCTGATTGAGTGCTTCTAGGTGACAGGTCACGCTTGCGTATGCTCTGTCTTCTCATGTGTTCAAGTTATTGCAGAACAGAACTGATGGTTTCCTATGAGGATTATTTTTATCTTTTATTTTATTTAAATTGGACTATAGGCACATCAAACTTTCTAGAAGTGTGTTCGTGATCATATGCCTAACATTTAGCTACTGTTCATCATGGAAGCAGTGATCTCAGAAAGCAACGTGTTTCATAGAGTTCATCATTCTCTTGAGCTCATCATCAAAGACTGGGGAGGGAGCTCAGTGGTCTACCACCTGCCTGGCAAGCACAAGGACCCTGACTTGATCCCCAGTACTGCATGCTGTGCGGGCCCCGGAAACATGGGTGTGTCATGCTGGCCACCATAACCAGCGGGGTGTTACACATCTGTAATCCCAGCACTGCTGAGGCTGATGTAGGAGGGTCACTATGAGTCAGAGCTGTATAGCGAGACCCTGTAACAAATAAGTAAATAAATAAAAGACTAAGAAAAAATTTAAGTGATATATGAATTGAATCCAAAAATTAAATACTAGTAGAGGATAAAAAGATACTTTGGCTTCTATTGGTTGTTTTCCATGCTCATTCTCCAAGCTGTATTTTGCTTGTCTAATCAAGTTTAACAACTTTTAAGCTGATGACATTTACCAATAAAACAAACTTGAAATATTTGCAAGTATAAGGAACAGAATCAAGTATTACTTCCATAAATTTCAATATTTCACATGAGATTCATCTTACTTTAGCATAAAGACAATAATTCAAATATCCATTAGCATAGATGAAGTTTCAAAACTTTATTACTGTAGGAAAAATGTATTTTTCCCTGTATGGCAACTATTTTTATAAGACCTTTTTATGAAAGCAGTAGTATTATGAAACCAAGATGCTCTAGTCTTATAAGTGTTGTTGACTATTTCAGAGCTTCGAGCCACGAAGACCTCTGAATACTTCAGCCTGTCCCACCACCCCTTAGACTACAGGATTTTACTGATGGATGAAGATCAGGACCGGATCTACGTGGGCAGCAAAGATCACATTCTTTCCTTGAACATTAACAACATAAGTCAGGAACCTTTGAGTGTAAGTTTCTCATTTTCTTGCAGACGATTGGGACTGGGTGACACTGTAGGGGTGATTTTCCTAAGGTTTTCAAATGCAATGAAAAAGAATACTATTTTTTTAAAATAGTATAAAATACATGTCAATGATTTCAAAGCTAAGGAGTCTCTCTAATTATTAACAATATGAAATCTGGAAAAGTACTTCCTGCATATATACATATAGGAATAAAGGAACATGGAATATATCACTACAGAGAGAAAAAATAGAACAAAGTGAAAGGTCAGAAGAAGCTTGACATGTCACCTGTATGCAGTCCCCATGGGGATTAAAAAGAATGCAGCTGTTAGACGCATAGTTACTTGAACAGGTGTGGCCCATATTTATTCTATTTTACAACAAGGATATAAAATTGAGTTTGATTGGGCCAAACAGGTAAAAGTAGATAAATTATGGATCTAGTGCAATGAGAAGTATTCGTTACGTGCATAAGAACAGAAGGATGACAGCTTTAAAAAGTAGGCTTTTCTGCAGTCCTGGCCTAGGACTGTAGAGTTTGTCTGTTTATTTATTTATTTAAAGACTCTAGTGTTTAAAAAGCCAGTAGATTTTCAGAGGGATATATTCTGGGTTTCATCCAAGCTCCTTTAGCTGTTAAAATATGCAAGGATTCACTTTAAGTAAATCTGCTATGCAGGGCCTGTGGGTAAGCAAAAACAATACTCAACTTGATAGTCACATAAATGTAAATTCACGGGATATAAGCAGATGAGAAAATGGTACTGTAAGTCAAATGGAGTGAAATATGTTTATATTGTGCACATTAAACTAATTATGATCTTATTTTAATACATGGTTAGTAAGTGGGGATGTATTATTGAAATGATTTTGTTAGAGAAAAAAATATTAGAAGTAGTAAAATGATCATTATCATAACATAACGGGATATTGAGTTTATAACATGAAAGAGAAAAGAATTTTGAAATAGAAGTGCAGAAATACCTGTAGAAATCTTGTTAGTAAAACGTAAATGAAGAACATTGAAGCACCCTGAGTCCCAGCGAGACTGTGCAGCCTTTGTTTTCCCTTCCGAGCAGGTTTTCTGGCCAGCATCCGCCATCAAAATTGAGGAGTGCAAAATGGCTGGCAAAGATCCTACGGTAAGTACTTAGAAAAGACCTAAGCATAAATATTTGGGCTTTAGGGCCCTCTGCTTGTAGTGCAACCAAGAACGAGACCAAGGTTTGACATCTTTGGCTGGACACATTGAAAACGCGAAGAGAGTGGAATTCTCACCATCTGTAATTTTGGAATTCCTGACTGCATAAAAATTTCCTGTCTTGTTTTCATTATTTCATGCAGATACTTTTGGTGATGAATTTCAGTAATAACCCCTGTTCTAAATGGATCCAACCTGCAGAATTCTCAGCAGGCTGCTGAAATAATGGTATTGCAGCGTCTGGAGCAGGTCCCAGATACCGTGGGCCTTTTCCAAGGATTCTCAGCAAAGCACTAGGGCTTAGTTGGCACATTCTGGGGATATAAATCACCAGTGACAAACAGTGTCTTTTTAATTAAAAAATAACCACAAAACTACCATCAAGGAAGGTAAGTGTACTGATAAATGGTTACAGTGATGCTTGTGCAAATCATCTTCCCCCAAGTGCAGCTCAACAAAAAGTGTCAAGCAAGAAATCTCTATTGATTTCTACAAATGACTGTTGACATTGACACCTTAAATAATTCTCAAATATTATAAAAGAAACACATGAAGCCCATCTTTACTGTATTCAAACCATAAAATCAAGCCTATGTTTAATTTCCTTGCTTGCTGCAAATCATGAAGAACAATATAATGTGAGGATCAAACTCTTCTCTCACAAATGATTTGGAAAGAGTTTCCACTATTCACTCATGTTTTATTTCAATTATTCATGAAATAAATACTGACTGGACACATTGTGTGTCTGGCATCGTGCTAGTTGCAGGAGAAGCAATTTGTGCAAGAACAGACAGGGCTCTGGCTTTCATGAACCTTGTGATCTGGACAGAAAAGCAAATTTTAATTTAAGGAGCAAGAAAGTACATGTTAATTAAAGAATGAGGTGGAAATATTGGCATGGAGTAGAAAATCCAGTAAATTTACACACACAGGGTGATCAAAAATATAATATGCCTTTAAATCTTTAAAGATTTTACAGTAAAGGATATGTTGGCATTAACCCTTTCAAAATGGTCCCCCCTCTTTGAACTATCCTGACCACCTTTCTGCTTTTGGGAGGCATTCTGAAGGCCCCTGCTGGTGAGTGTCTGCTGTGGAGTCCCCTGCAGTACAGCAAGCACAGAAGTGCTGCTCCCACAGACATGCCACCGCGTCCTCCTCTCCCTCATTCCTAAGATCTGGCAGTTCCAACAAATCACGATGACCACTGAGGGTAAATGTTTTGAATCAGATTGGGACAATGGGGCAGCCATGACCGTGCAACCCAAGGCACTCCTGACAGAGGGCTTGCAGGGCCATGCCCCAAAGTGGCAAGAGCAATGGAATGAGCCAGTCCAAAGGGAGAGCCGAGCCAGTATTGTGATGAGATTAAGGGTGACACATCTTTAGTTGTAATGATTTTTAAATTTAAGCATCGACTTCATTTTGTGATTGCACCTTGTCTGTTTACACGCCCTGGTCTGAAGTCATAATAAATGATAGTCTCAGCTGAGTTTCAAAAACTGTTGGCTGAGCACTTAGAGCACGGCAGATGCCTGAGATGCCCAGAGGAGTGAAATCTGTGCGTCGCGTGGTGAGTGCTCCAGAGATCCCTCGGGCTGGGCTGGTTTGGAGAAAGAAAAACTCATCTTTGTGGAAGTGAAACTTACTTTCTTTGAGTCTCCCGCCAGTCCCCAGTGTAGAGTTTCAAAACCGTCTGGCTCAAGACAGGGCCAGAGAGCCCTGGAATGCGGACCTGTGTTACACTCCTAGCTTCTTGGCCAGAGAAATTGCTAAGAGTGACTCAGATCTGGGGCTAGATTTCTGTATTTTATAATTCACCTAATAAGGAGAATTGAAAAGAGGGCAGATAAAACTTGCCAGGATATTTTTCTTTTTCCCTGAGATCCCAATGATTTCCTGGACCAAAATCTAAGAAAAAAAAAATCCAGAAACATGTGGAAGAAATGTTCAAAAGAACAAGCTGAGTAGCCTTCCAAGGACTTAAGAGCAGAATGGGGTATAATGTTTTGGAGAAGGATGTTTTGTCCCTTGAAGCTATTATTTCAATAACTGGACAAGAACTAAACTATTTTATTTCCTTCTAAGGAAGAGAGGTTTTCAGTGATCTGATCATGTCTTGCCAATTGCCATAATTATGTTCTGGGGTGATATAACTGAATTTATTGTCCTTTGTTAGGAAAGATTGGCATTGCCCATTCACAGAGACTGCCCTAGGGAGAATGTGCAGGCTACAGATACTTTTGTATATTCTATTTCCAAAAAAAAAAAATACTGCTAACTTTCTAAAACATTTTGGCCAAGTCATTTGATTCTGCTCGCCTTTTGAAAGAATAGAAACCCTTTCTTGTTTGCCTTGTGATAATTAAAGCTGTTCGATAAAGTCTTCAATGCTTGCTTGCATTTTCCCTTAGTTTTCTCACACTGGACTATCATTCGGGGATGTCTTGAATTCTTCTGAAGGGACAGCAGCCATGTACTTGGGAAAGGACTAGTGGAGGGCCCTTGGTGCAGTTCGGACTCTGCGAGGCAGGTGTGATTTGTCACTGTTGCATCCCGCGAAGCAGTAAGCAAGCTGACACTTCCAGATACAAGCACTGTCTAAGCAGGAGAAGCGGGAGGCTAACAAATGCATCTCATTTCTTATGTGCCAAGAAATGAGCTGGATTTCCAGAGACATCTTTTAATTAGCCACAGAAAAAGCCATTGGGAGAAAAATAATGTGAAATAGAACTTGGAAAGTTCCACAAAACAACCTGTTTTTACTACATTTCCCAATAAAACTAAGACTTTCAGAATGTCTTAACATTATTCAAATGAATGTCATCTAGTAATGTAATTTTTCATTTTTAAGAACACAGGAATGGAAAATTTTAATTTGCATGCACCAGTTATTGTGAGGAAACTGGAAGTATGAAGATTCCATTCACGAGCCTTTGCTGTGCGGTGGAGTTGACAGCACATACAAGCAGAATTTATCAGATGATGACATCCAGTGTTTCAGGGAACAGACCAGCCCCTGTTCTTATTGCTTTATTTTACTCCTGATAACGGTGCTACGAGACAGGCATTACTGCCACCCACATCTTTAAGATAAAGAAAGTCAACAACTAAGAGAGAAGAATGTACTCAGATCTGTAGGGAGCACTGGATGCTCTGTACCTGACCCAGGGCATAGTGCTATAGATCCTTCCCTCTTGGCCACTAAAAGTGGCCCCTCCCTAGGAGACAGTGGCAGGTGCTAAGGACACACAAAAGTCGGAGGCACGGTGCTGCTGGAATATGTTGGAGAGCTTTGACAGGCTTGGTGACAACCACATTAGATCCACTGTTACCCTTTCCTCTATTTCCTTCCAGTGACACTGAAATTCAAATAAACCAGGTGCTTTGTCCCTGCAGCCCATGGGATATGTGGCATCTGAGCATGTTCAGCTTTGTTTATCTTCCAGCGCTTTGAAATGGGAAAACACGTGCTCCACCTTTGGAGTAGGACTCACAGGAGCCTCATGCTCTGTCAGGCCTGCACACTGCCGGGTAGACTGGGAGCATCTCCTCCTGCCTGGAAGAGCTGTGTGACACATCTGTCACCTGTCCCTGTGCTCAGATCTATGCATGCGCCTCATAAAATTGAAAAGCTCTGAGCTAATGGAGGTGGAAAGAATTAAGCATGAGAATCTGTTCCGGGTGATTTTCAGGGGCTGGGCTTGAGCCGTGGTGCCTCCCACACAAATTCATTGTTTTTAGACCAATGAGGTTTGTAGAAAATTCACTGTGCACACAGTTCAGAAGTACATTTTTGTTGAATGTTTTCCACCTCATAGAAATATTAGGTCTGGCCTGGTAACTCAGCAGACTAAAGGGCCTGCTTATGCAGAACACAGAGGCCATGGTTCAATCCCCTGTGTGCGTGCTGGCCCTGCCCCCAGGGCGAACTGAAAGGGTGATTGAGACTGGGCGTGGTGGCGCGAGCCTATAATCCCAGCACTTGGGAGGCTGAAAACAGAAGAATCACTACGAGTCCGATCTATATAGTGAGACTCTGTAGACCCTATCATAAATACAGAAAAATAAGTAAAAAAAAAAAAGTAGTAATCATCCACTAAGCAAAACATAAAGTGGAGGCAAATAAATTCTGTACTGCTATAACAATTGAAAAGAAAAGTGAAACAGTGAGCAGCAAACCCCTGTGTGAGCACGGGGCCAAGGGCTGCGCATCTTCGAATCCCGTCACCCTGCAGACACACCCTCCCACCCACTCCATTGATCTCTAAATGTCAGCATTTCATTCAAGCAGTAATTTGAGCACAAGCAATAGTACATGCTGTCAAGTGTATCTAATCATATAGGACTTGAAGGGGGAATATTCATTTATTTATTTATTTAGTTTTGCATTTAGTACAGCGGACACAGGGTCTACAGGGTCTCACTACATAGATCAAACTTGTAGTGATCCTCCTGTTTTCAATCTCTCAAGCACTGGGATTACAGGCATGGACCACCATGCCCAGTCTCTTTGTTTATTTATTCTGTTTTTTAATGGAGGAATAGAAAAACACTTAGGAGATCATGGAAAATTAAGCTGAGATGCATAGGTAGATAGATAGATAGATAGATAGATAGATAGATAGATAGATAGATAGATAGATAGATAGATACATGCATGGATAGATAGATGCACACATATATAATATGCACAGGCTGTCAAATTTGACCTATTAATTGTATGATATTTCCTTATTTCTATAACCAGATGACCTTATGCTACTGCAAAGTGTATTTTTTTCTTAATGTATATTCTTTGGGACTCTCTATCAGAATTCCTTGATTCATCCTTAGACCAAATAGTTATAGTCCCAGAAGAAAAGAAAATAGTTTTCTAAATAGTATAGTATGCACCACAGAAAGTCAACATTTTATTAACTTAGAAATTTTGGGGGAGACTGATAATTAGGCTTAGGGCATTGCACTTGCCAGGCTGATGCTGGGTCCCTGAACTATGTCCTGGCCCCCAGAGTCAATGTTTTTAAAGTTGTATTTACCTACGATCCCTTACATATTTTAAAAACATATATTTTCATATTGATAAGCTAATGTGTGTTCAATACAGAGATTTTAAAAGCCTAGAAAAGCAAATAGAAAGTAGTAGACTATGAACCAGCTATGAACCCTTTGGCCTTGGAGACTTAATTTCTCTGGTCTTGGTTTTCTTCCCCATAAATGGTATCCATCATAGTCTCATTGTAGTCTTATTTGGACATTTATTTTCACCCAAATTTCAGGCTTCCTTCTTCTTTTTTTTTTTCTTTTCAAAGTTTTATTGATAAACATATAGCAATGAGACAGTTTCAAATCAAATCGAAAGTACAGTTTCAACAAATAATATACTGCATACATTCTTCTCAGTGGTTAATTGCTGTACAAGATGCAGACTTGTGATCCTACTTACAAACACCATTAGAAACAGGCTTCCTTCTTGCTTCTACTGTAATCTGGTTCTGCAGTGAGCTGTGTGCAAGACAAACATCCGGTCCACTTTCCACTGGCCATAGTTCACAAGAACAATGTACATGACGATATTAATGGAAGCCTCCAGTGTGCGCTAGTTCCCTGTATAGTGTAGCAATTCCATTCTAGCTTGCTTTATTAGTGCATAGCGCTCACCACCCTTGCTATCATTGTCATGTTACAGATCAAAGACTGGGTCACAGGAAGGCGATCGAGCTGCTGTAGTTTCTAACAGCTAGGAAAAGAGGGAGCTGGTTTGAAGCCAGGGCATCTGGCTCTTGAATTGGAAGCATGACAACCACATTAGATCCATTGTTACCCTTTGCCAGGATGACCCAGATAAACCAACTCCATTTGCCACTGGCTTTTCCACAAACACTCCAAGGCTCCCGGCCACTATTCTCCCACCTATCCTGCATTTTTTTTTTTTTGCATTCCATTTGTATTTTTATTTTATTTATTCTGTTATGTTCTAAAAGTAATACTTTTTATTTTTTCGGAACGAGGGATTTTAACTCAGACCTCTGCGCTTGCCGGGTCTTTTTAAATTAATTTTACTGAGAAAGAAGTAGCAATGAGACAGTTTCAAAACAAGTTAGTAGGACAGTTACAATAATTAATACATTGCATATTGTTGTCTTCATAGTAGTTATTCATAGTACAAGATGCAGACATGACATCTTGTCTAAACACTATTAGTTCAAAACTTTTTTCTCATTGAACTAAGAGAAAGTAGCTATATATCTATGCTCACTATTTTGTATAATATATGTATGTATGTAATGGTCCTTCATTTGTATTCCCCTTTTTGTTTACTTTTGTCAGAGATGGGTATTCCACTGCCATTCATCATTTGACTTACCTTGTCAGATACAAAAGTTGCATTTCTTGTTATATGACTTTGCTTCATCTTGGTCTTAACCATCCAGCAGAACAGTGTAAGAATGAGGTATAATAAGTAAAGCCATATCAATATGCTGAGCTATAAAAGGTTCAAGTCAACAACTTCTGACATTACCAGTCCTGCAGATAACCCACTGCTATTATGGACTACTGGCTTATATTGGATTACTTTGTTGAATTCATGCACCATCCTGCATACTTGGGCCTTTGGTTTTGGTTCCTGCTGTTTCCTGCTGGAATGTTTCCCACTTACACGATTCCCTGTCGACATAACTGCTTCATTCCACAGGACCAGCTCAAGTACCAACTCTGCTGAAAGCCGTGCACCAGCCATGCACCGAGCTGTCTTCTTGCCCTCTGCAGTGTATTAAAAACTTATTGTAGCACCCATCCCAGCCTGATTTGTTACTGTCTTCTTTCTTTGCAAACAGGAAGTCAGTCTGCTTTTCTCAGGACTGTTAGCACCAAGCACAGTGCTGTGAACAGCAGGCATTGAGTAAATATTTGCCGGACGTGAGGACGCCATGTGTATCCACGCTGCCCGGAGCAGGGGGTCCTGGTGCGGGTCTTGGGCCAGCTCCTCCTGACCACTGGGCACGTCATTTACTTTCTCTGGGACCCGACATGCCTTCACCAACGTTACAGCATTGCCAAGACAGTTCACCCAAGCCACATCTCAGTATAAAAGATTTCTGAATATTAATTCATATTAAAGAATGTTTAAAAAGTTACTCGCATGTTGATAACTGTTACAAAAACCATTATGGATTCCTCACCCACACTGAGGCAGCTATAAAGTGACTAGACGTACAAAATTCAACTCAGAACTTCCTGTATTTGAAAATCTGCTTTGTAGTTTCTACCAATGAGACCCCAGGCCAGCTAACTAAGAAAACCTCTGAGCTTTACTTTTCTACAAGGACTTAGTTTTACAAACAACAGCCACCATAAAAATAAGGAAAAAGGATGCAACTAAGTTCACACAAGGAGTGTTCTCTAGATACCAGCTGCAGAGCTGAAAATCAAACCTCCTGGGAGACTGAATGTGGCAAAACATGCAAGGATTGGGGCCGGGGAGATGGCTCAGTAGAATAAGCGCTTGCCTGGCAAGCCCAAGGGTTCAATCCCCGGTTCAATCCCCAGTTCCACCAAAAAAAAAAAGCAAGGATTATTTCTATGTCTAGTACAGCACAGACTCTGAATATCATCACCCGCAAGGAGCAGAGACATCAATAAATAGACTAACATGCAACAAGCATAGTCTGTATTTAAAGTATAAACCCATTTTTCTCTGCCTTCCTTATGCTACCAGTGATTCATGAAAGCAAATTGTCCACAAAGCCCAAAACAAGACAGACACGATATGTTATTAAAAGAACTAGACTGAATGCAAGTCTGATGGGAAAGTGCTCTATACAGAATCCTGGAGTGACTCGCCTTGAATGCCAAGCACATAAGCACAAGTCTCTCGCTCACAGACTTTCTTAACATAGACATATTATATACAAACCATACTTCATCTGCACCTCCTTCTAGGGAACCATGTTATCATCTGTACTTATGTAATCAAATTCTTGAGACCTCTATAAACAGGTGTCAAGTTATAATGACACTGGTTATTTAACAAAAATACTTACTGTCTCAGCATACAAATAAAATGTATAGTCTGGTCTGTAAAATTTAATTTCTTTGACAGTAGTGTTCATGATTGATTATTTAATAATAAAAATCTATAATAGAAACATCTGTATGAAGTTAGAATGTATAAAAAATACACATTCCCTGACAAGTAATAATGTATATAAAAATGATGAAAAGGTAAAATAATCTTGATGTTAAGTTCAGTTTAAGTTCTACTTTAGTAAAGCATGAATTGTTTTACTTTTACAGTAATATAAATAATAGATATATGTTACCTTCTAAAAATCAGGGATGCCTAAAGGAAAAAAGAGGCAGTGCGTACTGCTTACTGCACAGGCAAGAACTACCGCTAAGCTTTGATATATTACTCCTAGCTCACACCAATTTGAGATTAAAATGCTCTTTTTGTGTTTAGTTTTCAATGAGAAAATGACTACCTCACATTGAGTTGGGCTGTAGCAAGTGAGAAGGGTGCTTGGGGAAGGAGCAAGGGCACGTTTTAGGGGATCAAGGGCAAAGGAAAAGATGCTATCCTTCCTTATAGCAAGCAGTGAGTGCACCGGCACGTTCTGCCAGTTCTGTTCACCAACCGTAAAGATCAGTAGCATTTGTCAGTCTGTGGTAAGACCCAAAAGGAACTTCTTCCTGGTGTCCTTGGAAGCAGGTACATATAATCTGTGTGTCCACACAGATGAGGGAACCACCTGTACCTCGCTGGTGGGCAGTAAGTTTATACATTTCAGAACCAAAGCTTATATAGTACAATAGTAATACAGCACAAGGTGAGGTAGGGTTTTCGGTAGATCTGAGGTGAATTCCTGTTTTCCTAAAATAAATCAGTAGAATAAACCATTTTCTTCTCTTATTATTTCCTCAACCCTATCCCCTAGCACATGGTGAAAAAAGAGGACAAAGGTGGAGATACAAGGCCTAGGATCTGTCAGTTCTGTATACTTTGCATTGAGATGTATACAGTTGAGAGCATTTTCACTTGAGGTACTCGATTTAGGAAAGATTTATGCAAAAACGGAAAAACTGAAACAATGGAATAATCTTGTTCAATAGAGTGCCACTAGGTTAGCGGTTTATGTCTGCTTTATTCATTGAAAATGCCTAAAATGTTGGGACTGCAGCAGAGCTTAAGGAGACAGACAACATCAGTTTAGGCTCTGATTCTGCAACACCACGAGCTCAACAGCATCACCTTTAGGAAACACCCGGACTGCCTCAAGGGCTTCTATTCCCTCATGGTCCCCATGGCACAAAATCTTAAGAGAATGGAGGGGTAGAAATGATAAGGAAGTCACGGGGGCACTAACTGCTTTCTCATCGCTTCTTGCAGCACGGCTGTGGGAACTTCGTCCGCGTCATCCAGACCTTCAACCGCACGCACCTGTACGTGTGTGGGAGCGGCGCTTTCAGCCCCGTCTGCACATACCTGAACCGCGGCAGGAGATCCGAGGTAACGCGCTGTCAGCATCCGCTCTTAGTGTCAGGGGCAGAGAGTTTAGAGATGGTATTTTAGATTATAAATTTGGAAATATCACTACAGTACTTAAAATATTTTCATGCTTATTAAAGACTAAATATATTAATTTTTGTCTGCCAGCACACTTAAGATACAGTCTTTCGCCTTCAGTGCAAACATACATGTGTATGTGTGTGTGTATAAAAGTTCTAAATGACAAACAAAGTGTTAATACTATACTTTCAATATAAAGCACTGCAAACACCAAATTATAGAAACAGTGTATTGGACTCTTACTTCCTTAAATCTACTTTAAGTAATCCTTGTTTATCTTTCAAATTCAGTAAACTTTGCTCGGCACTGAACAATGTATGGAGCAGAATTTCAACTGTTTTTGCTGAAAAGAACTTTATAAAGCAATGCACTTAAAACCAACACTAAGGAGACAGACAACATCAGTTTAGGCTCCGATTCTGCAACACCACCTCAACTCAGCCGCTCTTTCCTTATTGTTTCATGAGTTAAAATGATATGGATGTGGTATGGTGTTTGCCAAACACTGGTTAAATATATAACTACTGTGCAATCAAACACAAGGTTGTTGAACTTCAACTGTGATACTTAAGACTGTGTTTACCATCCCATTCTAAAAGTGTTGACTGAGGCGGCTGTGAAGGATAGTAGGAACTTTTCCTCATTCTTTGAGTGAAACTTATTGTTTGACTTGTTATAACCGTTTTAAGTCCTGAGATTCTTTCATGCTATCCTTATTTGGTTCATTTTGCAGCACATATTTAAAAATCCCATTCTTCTGTATTATCTCAATTTGTTTTGGAAGTGAGAATTGTGGAAAACGTTAAATACTGCTACCAAGTTACTTCATAAGGTTTATTTTTCCTTAACACGAATTAATCCACTTTAGGACTAGTGTCATTGAGCAATGGTGGCTTTTGTATTCTTCTTTATTAAATGATGGTTTTTAAGATTTGGAATTTACACATATACATTTTTGATGCACTAAAAATCATTTTAAAATGACTAACTCATTACTACTCAACCATGTGCTGCTGCGGCTCCAAGTGAGGTTGAAGATGCCACGAGACGTTAATGTTCCTGAGAAAGAGTTCTGCTGCTGGGATGAATGCACTTGGCTGCTTGAGCTTGTCGTTAGGGCTGCATGCTTGGGATCAATTGATTAAATAAACTCCTGCCTGAGACATCTGCAATCTGTCAGACACTCCCTGAAGTCTGTGTACTCACTGTGCAGACCAACAATAGCAGAGCCATGTCCAGGGCACAGATCACAAATAAAATCATTTTCCCATGCACACGCTGCCCACTACGCACTTGAAGCCTTAATTAGAAAATCTGTCCAAAAATTAATCTCCTTTGCAAAACCAGTGTGGAAGAAATTATAATCACTTTGATAAACAGGAACTACACCAGTCTCACTTCAAAAGATGCACTTCAAAGGTAGAAGCATTTCCATTAATTAATGCAGCCTCTTAAATAATAAGGGAACAAGGTACATTTGGGATATAAAAGAGCTGCAGTGTTCAGTGTTTTCCCCTGTAATCAACTGTAGCATCACTTTGTCTTTCATCTGTAAGCTGATTGTGAATGTAGAGCTAAACAATTTTATCTTTCTTTATATATTTCGTACAGGGTCTACAGGGTCTCACTACACAGATCAGACTCCTAGTGATCCTTCCCATTTTTCAGCCTCCCAAGCACTAAAATTATAGGCATACACCACCACGCCCAGTCTCATTCAGTGTTTCAGTGTACTGCGAGGGCAGGGCCTGGCACGGCAACCCAGGGATTGAACCTCCAGCCCCTGCGTCTGCCTAAGCAGGTGCTTTAATCTACTGAGCTATCTGGCAGGCCCATAATTTTATCAAATTCTGAATGTATTTGTTTTCTTTCTGCATTAAGGATGTACTAGCATGAGATGATCACATGACACAGAGGACCTTGCTTGGAGCGCGCTCGCCTGCTCCTTCAGCACTGACGTGGTCTTGTGCAATGACCAGGAAGTCACGCTTTCTGATAACACCTTGTTCTTACTAGGACGCAGCCTTCTCCATACCTTCAAAGCTAGTGTGACAGTGAACTGTCATTTGCCATTCATTTTCTTTTTGAGGCATTATCCCCACCTTGTCACTGCTTGTCCTTAAAGTTCAGCGGTCCTAAGAGAGAACTTCATGAGCTGAGCGTACGCTTGGTGCACTGTGGGCTTTCCCGATAGCGCCTCACTCGTCCACTGCTTTGGGAGCAGGACCCGAAGCCTGCCTGGTGCACGTCAGCAGTGCCCAGCAGGCTCCCTGCTGCATCTGTGCCCCATCAAGGCTCTTCTCTTCGAGCGCCCCTCTCCTCCGTCTTCTGTTTCTGGAGAAAAGGAAATCAACACTAATGTGCCAAAGAGAAGGACCAGCTGGGATGAGGGACAGGAGAGGAGAGAGAAGTAAGGGAAATACAGACATTCACATACATGGGGTGGCGTGGATGATTGCACGGCTCATTTCCACTGATCTACTGAAAGAAATAGTTGGGGCCAGGGAGATGGCTCAGTAGAATAAGCCCTTCCCTGGTAAGCACAAGGGCCTGAGTTCAATCCCCGGTTCTGCCAAAAAAAGAAAAGGAAATAAAAAGAAAGAAATAGTTAATGCTTGTTTTTTTTTCTTCTTTTTATCCTTTTGACCAATTTTGCATGGTTATCTCCACTTACAACTAATTTGAAGACAACAGTATGCAATGTAACAACCATTGTTGAATTCCTATCATTTTTAGTGAAATTCTTCATCATTTCTTTTTTGAACTCCCCCTTTCCTTTCTTCCACTCTGTTACAAGGCTCTCAGAACATTCTTTCATGCTTCTGTTTGCCACCACTTTATCAAAATTTTCTAATAACACTTACACTTTTACACATTAACAAATGGATCAATGACGACAATTCTACAATGGAGTGTTGACTCCATTGGTCAGAAACCTCCAAGGCTAATCCACACCCTAAATTTTGGTCATGTCCTCTATAATCAAGGTATTTACTAACTTTTAATTTTTTTTTCAAATTTATTACAGTAAAAGACAGTTTGCCATGAGCCCCCCTCAAAACGCTCCCCTCAGTTCTCACTCTGCCTCTTGTCTTCACCACCCCCTGCAGCAGCTCTGGAGTCCCCTTTCCTGAGTGTCTTTTGTTGAAATACCTCAGTGGCCTTTGGACATCTTAGACCACAGGGCATTTTCTTCTACCTTCTTTCTAATTTTTCACTAAATCTTCTTTGGTCCATTTTATTGTCTTATTGCTTCAATCTACATCAGTTATTTATTTATTTATTTATTTATTTAACGAGAATGAAGGTAGAAATAATCCATGTCAAAGCTTGCAGCACACACCCAATGTTGGTCTTTCTCATGTGTCACAAGAGAAGTAAGTGGAGCCGTCTTAACCAGATAATGGCAACAACAGAACTGTGTTGAGTTTGTGGCTTATGTTAACTATTATTTTGGTCTGCACAAGGGATTGGAAGGGCCACAGGGAGATCAGTTAGAGACTTGGTGCTGTAGGCCAAGAGAGAGTATTGTACTGAGAGAGACACAGAAGCACAAAAGGTGGACTAGCACAGGTGAAGTTGGTGGGTGCAGATACGGAAAACAAACCCATGCTGACTTAGGTGGAGCCATTTCTGCTGTTGAGCTTTTGCAGCCTTTTTAGTTCGGAGGTTGCCGTGAACTGGGAGGAGAAGCCGTAAGAGATCATGCTTGGGGTAAAGCTGATGAGCCTGGGTGGGTTTGGTCTGTTGCCCGTGCGGTGCCATGAAATACCAGGCGCAGAGTTGAATGTGAAGCTGGATATATGAAGGTGCTGGTTGCTGCTTTTTAAGAATAACCGATGCCCTTATATAAGACTTCTTCAACTTTCACTAACAAACAGACATAAATGTTTTATACATGTTTGGTACTGAAAGTCAAAGATGTCTCATTGAAGGGTTTTATTTTTTTTCTGTAAAGTACTTGAAAATAATATGAGCTGAGAACATTATGAGATAAAACAAAATAGAATTTGATTATAGCAGCAAAAGGAGAATTTTAGTGGAAGAACTAGTTAGCAGAAGCGGCCAGGAGCTCGCTGCACTGCACAGTGGGTCCAGTCCAAGCCAGGGCCACAAATCTGCAGTACATTAAATTTATGCTTTGAGTAACTTCCTGCAAAATTTTCAGTGATGTGGAGGCCAGGGTGGAGTGGTAGGGACTCCCAGTGCGCGGCGGGTGTGAGCAGGTGGACACTGCGGACACGGGAGGAGACGGCGCTCAGGCGGCCTGGGCAATGCCTGCAGGGTAGACTCGTGCTAAGCAGAGCTGCCTCCGGCCCTAGAGTCACAACCAGGCTGGCTCAGGTCTGCTGGCTTTCATGGTACTTCTGATTTGGAAAGCACAGACTTAGGGGCCATGAAACTGAGCTTCAGTCTTGCTTGTGTCCCCCTTTCCCAGCTGGTCTGGGCAAGCCGCATCTTCTGCATCTAGGACGCAGCAGGGTTAGGGGTTGTGATTCCTTTCAAAGTGTGACCATTGCCCACTGCACAAGGAGTAGCACACCAACTGCTGTATGGTGGGAAAGAATGAAGTTTTGTTCAGGGAGTCGAAACTTTACAATGCTTTAAAAAATTTTCCCAAAATATTTTCTAATGGATCACTGTGCTCTATTGATTGTCACTGTAATCAACTACTTTGCATTTCTGCTGCTCTTCCTGCAGCTGCTGTGAGGTCGTGGCAGCGTGTGAGGCTAATGCGATCCAATTCCTGGAACCACACAGCAGGAGAGTGGCTTGTTTTCAGAATCCAGTGTCTACTCTTGTCTGTTCTGGTCCTGTGTTCTGTAATGTTCAAGATAGAATCAAACCTTTTTGGATGAGTGCTGTGACCCTTTCATTTCCCTGAACAAAAATATTAAGGAGTCTGACTGGCGGTATAGCTTAAAGGACTAAGCGCTTGCTTAGGTAAGTGCAGGGACCAGAGTTCGACCCCCGGCACTGCAGTCCGCGCCGGCCCTGCCCCCAGGCATGCGGCCCTGCCCCCAGCCATGCCACCCCACCTGCGTGCTGAGCCAGTGATGGTGGCACATGCCTGGAATCCCAGTACTACAGAGGCAGAAATCAGGAGGATCACTACGAGTCCGAGCTACCTAGTGAGACCCTGCACGCACACACACACACACACACACACACACACACACACATACCTAAAAAATATTAAGGAATCTATATTTCTTCTCAATAATTCTCAAATACTATAGCCTAATAATTAAGGTCTCCAGGACTGGGGAGATAGCTCAGCAGTCTATGTGCCTGCCTGGCAAGTACAAGGGCCCAGGTTTGATCCCCAGCAGCACATGCCATGTTGGCCACTGATAGTACGGTAGTGCATGCTTGTAATACCAGTACTGGGGAGGCTGAGACAGGAGGCTCACTATATGTCTGAGCTTTATAGTGAGACCCTGTACCAAATGGATAAATAAATAAAAAAGATTTTTCTTTTTAAAATTAAGATCACCCATCATCTAATATAATCAACAAAAATGAACATTTAATAGTAGTTTGCATAAAGATAAAGGTAAATACTCATACCAAGAAGATACAGGCACTGTGTTGCCTCTGCCCTTCAGGTGGACCCCAGCCTCCACTGCCCCTGCCCTTCAGGTGGACCCCAGCCTCCACTGCC